ATTCTGTAAAAATTCTCAGAGCTCTTTGAAAACAAAATAAGCAATTTTTATCTCTTAATATTTTTCGGTAGAGTTAATAGAATTCAAGTAAAAAATTATTGAAACCAACAATTTTGTAGATATTTACGTAAATATCTTAGAAAATAGAGGTCGTATAAAAAATTTTTTCGAACAAAAGTTGTTTGCTTTTTCACGTAGAATAAAATGCCATAATAAAAATATGTATTTCTATCTAAAAAAGCAAAGTTGACCTTGTCCTGACCTTGGCGACGTCATCTTAGGTCAAATAACTACTGTCATTAAATGCGACTTTTTAAGCCTTACAACTTTTGTTGGAAACATTTTTCTCTAAAATGCTCCCCCGCCGAGTTTTCTTGCCGTTGCCGAACTTATGGGACACTGTATATATATATATATATATATATATATATATATATATATATATATATATATATATATATGTGTGTGTGTGTGTGTGTGTGTGTGTGTGTGTATGTGTGTGTGTTGTTCAATTTTAGTACGAGTTCTTTATCACAGAACATATGTCGTGACGAAGATAGAGCACAGAACCTGAACGATTCAGAATTTAAGGAATATCATGTATCTTCTTCAAGTTGTAACACGCTAGACATTCCTGAAAGAGCAGGAAATTCGATCGATTGCGGATTACCAATAAAAACAAAAAAAAGTTAGTTAATTTTGCACAATTGATAATCACATCTTATAGATTATAATAATTGATACATTTTCATTATTTTACATAACTTTTGATAAATTGTTATAATATATTGTGCTGATTTTTCATAGAAATTCGACGCAGTTATAATAATCTGAAATTGATTTATTATGCATTTTCTTATATTTATATTATATTTTTAGTATTTTATATTTTAATTACGTCTTTATTGTAATGTCTTACTTTATTCATAGATAATTACCTTTGTTTGATAATATATAAAAATGTAGAAAAATTCATTACTTTGAATGCATTAAATAGAATTTTTTGTGTTATAGGAAGACAGAACGACTCCAATGTGCAGGCACTACATAATAACTAGGGTTTCTGACCCGGGAATTCTCGATCTCGATTTTCTAGAAAATTTGTCAAATTTAATCCCGGGAAAAAATCAGTCGAGAAATCGAGAAATCGAGAAATTTTTGAAAAAAAAACATAAATAGATAATTAACGCGCAAACAATGACTACATTCGCTTTGGTGCTTAGTGTTTTAAGTATCACTTTATCTTTGTTGTTTATCAAATATTAAAGTGATGCTTATGCTTATGTTGGTCGGTGTTCGTTTAACCCGGGAGTAGAGTCGTTAATGGGACCAACTTAAGGGGCGCGTACCGATCATTTCGACCGAAATATATTTAAGCACATACACGTATAATAATTGAGTAATCATTAATAAATTAACAATTTAATTATTAAAAGAAACAATAATTGAAGGAAATAATTTTATTATGTCACTATTTCTTCTTTTTCCCCTCTTTTTTCCTCTTTACCATTTCTATATCTAATATGTTTAAGAAACATATTAAACTTATTATACATATGTGAATATATTAAAAATAAAATCATAATTTTTATTTTAACTGCATTGGTACAATGCAGTTATTAATGTCTCATATACGTACTCAGAATCCTCCGAATCACTAATTGTTTCTTCTGTTTTATATCCTTCTGAATAATTTTTTCTAGATCGCTTACTCATGTTTGCACGTTTATAATTGTAATATTCGAGACATTAGAGAGAACCGTCCGTCCAACTACGATGTCGAAAACATTATATCAGTTGTATCGATTTTATATTAATATATCATTAAGTAACATGTTACTTTGTAAAATTAAACTTAATTTTATTTTTGTTAAACTGAAAATAAAAATCGACTGATTGATGCAATAAAAGACTAATTTATGTTACATTTATGTGAATATATAGGCAAAATAATTACATAATGTCAAATTATCAATAATACAATTTATTTAAACAATTAATATATATTTTAATTTATTACTTTCTTTGAATTTCATGTTTCACAGATCGTTATCGTGTTTTTCACAGATTTTTTTATATTCTCGATTTCCCAGGAATTCCCGGGAACAGACACACGGGAATTCTCGAGTCCCGAGAAATTAAAAAGGAAAATCAGAAACCCTAATAATAACATATTGCAGCAGTTACTTGCCGAAAATATGCCACAGAAAGATGCAATGGACAATTTCTTAGAGCACGTGGGAGATATCCTGCATAGATTGAACTATTTTCTGCATAGATTGAGCTGATAATTGAGAAAACAATTACAAGTAGAGCTGCTGCATTTCGTTCACAGGGCAGAAGATGAAGAATTAGCGGAGGCGGAACAATAAATTCGAAAGCAATAAATTTTTTATATTGTTCTCGTAACCTTTATCTTTCTACCAATACATAATGGAGGATTCACACAACTTTTATCATTGCTGCAAGACCTGTGCTATGGGTGTATTTTAAGATTAAATTTAGAACTGTCAAATACAAAATATTCTTTACATTTTTTTTTCTTTTACGTCATTTTTTTGCTCAACACAATCACGCATGTCCGTTCCGTGATAGTTTTCTCTATCAGTCCCATGTAGCAAAAACGGAACGGAATTTGGTTACAAAATATATTTCGAATTTACAATTTAGTATTTTAGAGTACTCATAACAATGTTATCGGCAAGATAATGACACAAATTATATATGTTATTACTTTAGTTATATTAAAATTACGAAATATCGACAAAGTAAGCACATTTATTTGTGATCGACGCAACATTCCGTTCCGTTTTTGTTACATGGGACTGGTAGAGAAAACTACTACGGAACGGAACGCTCAATTCTAGTGAGAAATTCGATATAACTTAATGGGACTGCACCCTTAGACGCGAGCATGGCTCGCGTGAATGTTGCGCCCGTGGCAGCGGCTAAGTCTTGAGTCGACTTAGAAGCGAGCGTGGTTTGCGTCCGTGACAGCGGCTAAGTCTTGAGACGACTTAGAAGCGAGCTTGGCTCGCGTGAATGTTGCGTCCGTGGGAGCGGTTAAGTTCTCGGTGAGAACTCAGGGAGTTAGACTCGCGCGGCGTTGTGAGCGCGACAGTACTAGAGACCCTATAACCAGTGTCGCACAATCACGTCCTCGATTCTAATTGGTGCCGCCATGTTTAGGCTAAATA